GAAAATGAGTGAGCTATCATGCAGATAAAGGACGCATGCAATGTTTTTTTTTTTCATTTAAATCAAATACTTTGAGTGCCATATTCACCAAAATTAAAAATAATCGTATTCAATCTAGAATTAACTTGGTTTAAGAGATCTTGATGGATTCTAGAAAATACCACAACTTTAGTACAAATGATTCTTAAAAAACTCATGATTTCATGAAAAAAAAACATTTTTAAAAAAAACAACCAATTTCTCACATAATACCTCTGAAAGATACGTATAAAAGTATATATATAAGAAAAGTCGAGGTATTTTTCTGACTAATTATTATTGTTTATTATTTTTTCGTTACACACACAAAATTGATAGATGTATGATTAATTAAGGAGCTGTCCAACCAGAGGTCTTTTGAGCCGTTTAACCCCCTTCGCCGTTTTACAATAAGAGAAGTTACGGTAAAATTAATGATAGAGAAATTGTAGCTCATTTAATCACCTTTAAATAGTGTATTACAAGTTCTGATAAAATCAGAATTAAAAGAGTAATAATCCATTAATGCTGTGGATGGTGACGGAGTGCAAATTGTTAAAAAACATTGAAATTAAGATAAAGATTAGGCCTATTTCCAAATATCAAGTAAATTGGAGCACAGTAAAAAAATTTACAGAGCAATAATTTTGTTGATCGTAATATATTGGTGTAAATAGTAATTCAAAAACAGTAATTATTATTTTTAACTAAGCAGTAAATATTAGTATAAAATATTGAAAAATTGTAGACGTAGGTACAGAACAACGTCTGTCGGGTCAGCTAGTATATATATATATATATATATATATATATTATTAGAGTTTAAAAGTCGAACGTCACATTAATAAAAATAGTATGAGAGTTTTTAGTGATTTATTTAAAATCCATACGTTTCGGCTAGCATCTTAGCCTTCATTCAGTGACAATCAATTTAACTATAAAAATTAAAACTAAATAAATAATATTTAAGAAATTTCATAGAAAAACAATAATATAATAATAAAAAACACTTACAATTTTGTATCCTAATATCACAGATGAAAACATTATTACTCCATGGTATGAGTATGTGCACAGTGGTAAAATATATATTTTTTAACATCACAAACAGCAAAACACACAAATAAACATGAATAACTTTTAATAGGTTGTCGAAACTATGTACTGACTATTTGGAGTCACATTTTTTCTTAAATCAGTTCTTAACATATTTATTTATTTATACGACAATCGGCTATGTATAGTACATTTATAATATTGCACTACTACAGTAAATTTATAATATTACACTAATAATTTTATGACTTAAAAATCTACTAATATTGAATTTGGTAACATATTTCACACAATATTTTGGTAACATAATCTAATAATTAATTGCACATATTATTTTATTGTGTAGTTGCACTTTAAAGTATTAATTTTTTCGTTTTGTTGGTCTCGAAAACATTTTGAAGAGTATCGAAATAAATCAAACCTCCGCAATATTCGTTGACTACTTTGCCTAAATTGTTTAGAGGACTGTTATTGTTTTGTACGTGTTTTTTGAGGATTTAGTTGTATTGACAATGCTATTTGATCGAAGTCCTTGCCTGGGTGTAAAATAATAGTAATTACTATTTTAGTTCTTTTCCATAAATTTACGATTGTTTGGCACCTTCACACTTTCAATTGTTTTTTAATCATTTTAAATTATTGAATGTCAAAAAATTTGACGTCAATAAAATATATAATAAAATTATATCGAATACAAATTATTTGACTAATTTTATAAATTTTATTACTTTATGTATTAAATTGTCATAAAATATCTTTTTGTTTACATGCAGTTTCTATGAATTTCAAAATTATTTGACCATTCGAATTTTGTTTGTTTGTGGAAACACATCTCTTTTGTAACCTGACAAGACCAATAGAATTTAATTATTATTATCACATTTTATTTAATTTTTTCAAATTTATGATGATTAATGTAATGTACTCTTAAGAGTAATTTCTACGTTAATTTTTCGATTATATTATCTTAGCTACTATTTATTTTTCATTTTATTTGTTTTAGTGTCAAATTTCTGAGTGTCAATTGTCAATGTCATTTGACATTTAATAATAATTTAATATTGTAAATATAATATTTGGTATTAACATTTGTTCAATTTTTATTTTATTATACCTTTATTATTACAGTTACATTCAAATATATTCGTTTCTTTAGAATTTTCCAAAAATATTTGACATTTTGAACTTTCAATTTTCTATGATTTATGACAAATATAAAATTTCGCGTTTCCGTAAACATTGACGACTGTCATTTCATAGTGTTTTGTTTTAAACTGACAATAAACTGATAATATTAATATTGTTATTAATTAATTAATTAATTGACATTTTTATAAATTTTATATTTTGAATATAAAGTGTGATTTTTACTATTCTTTATAACCTAAGTTGGATATAATTTTTCCTTTTTGAATAAGACAAAAGTAATAGATTTTTTTAACTATCCAATTTTTTCATTATTCATTATAATATAATATTTATTATATTAATATGAATTGTTTCGGTTATAATAAGTGTTATATTTCACTTTTAAATTGTGATACGTAGTTTGATGATGTTATCGCATTTGAATTAACTTGGTAAGCAAATAAAATATAAATCTTTTTTTTTAGTTTTAATATTAATTTTATTTTCAATATCAATCAGAATATAGGACAATTTTATGAGCTATTTGGCTTATGTAATTTACTCGCACACATACACACACTTTTACATATAAATATAAACACACATATAAATTAATCTTATAAATATTATATGATAGTTAGAGAATCACTTCAATAAGTGATTCTACTATTCTGTCCATGTTAAGTTTTGGTAGTTCTAAAGGCCCTCCATATTATCTTGGGCAGCTTCTTCTTCAGTCTTCTTGAAGTTGGTGTCTCGAATGAGTATAGAATTTGAATGATGTTCTTGTTTATGAAAATTTTTGACACTGTTGATTTGTATAATTCTGTTTATAAATTCAATATGAAGATCATCGTGTAAAGTCTTATTGCCAACAAACCACAGAGCATCAGTAATCTGACTTAATATTTTCGATTGAGCACGTTCCATTAACACTATGTTGGATTTGCTCGCACAATCCCACAATTCTATGCATAAGTCCATATTAGTTTTATTACTACCTGGTAAATTAGAACTGTCTTAGAAGCCAGTATAATGATGTTTCTAAAATTTTAATATTTTGAATGTGAACAGAAATTTTTAATACTGCCTATAATCTAAGTTGGATATACATGCACGGTGAGCCAATAAAATTTAAAATCGGTTCAGTAGTTCAGAACCCATTACAAACCAACATCTTAACATGATCTTTATATCGTCATATACATTTATTCATCAAAAATTTCAGGAATTACAAAACTATATGTTGTTGATTATCATAATAATAATTTCAAACAAACATTATGGCAAATATTAGTTAAAAAAAGTGCCTGTTAACTATTTCATTAAAAAAAAACTCTCAAGACCGAGGCTTTAGTCAAATATTTATAGGCAAGCCATTCGAAATTCATTTGCACTTTAAACAAGTTTTTGAAATCAGGAGACCTCCATATAACACAGTAGTTACCGCCCCAAAAACTACTGTGTTATGCAAATTATAGTATTCGTACATAAAGAGGGTTAATGTTCCAAAATTTTAGAATTCAATAATGTCAAGAATTAATAACTATTTTTGTATTATTTGAACATTCATATATTATTCATCTGCAGAGCTGGTATATTGACAAATTTAAAACTTCAACATTACATTTTTATACAGACAAATATTTTCAACAGTATTTCTAATGTGATAATATCATTAATAATATTAGGCTAAAATATTTCAACTATAAGCGAAGCTGTAAAGAGCTTCATAAAACAATCATTGAATAAATGCACATGTAATGGTGACATATATTACTAGAATTTAGAGATTTGAACAGGCAATATCAGTAATATTGCAGGCCATTTAGATAACAAATGTATATATTTAACAAACGTTTTAAATATTTAAATATCTAAACAAAGTGCCTTTATATTTGATTTACTTCAGTTGGCGTATTCATGAAATAACAATATTTCCTAAATTAAATATTTTACCACAAACTGTTTTGAAAATATACATATTTAAAAACAAAATTCACCCATGCAATACCTAACACAATCACACATCCATATACAATAAATTATATTTTATAAATAAAATCAGCTTGTTCAAACTATAATGTCATGTCCTCTTTTTGGGAATTTATCACAGAAAAACAATAGCTAAAAAACTACATTTATATGGAATGTTTTAAATCGTAATGATTTATATTCGAAAGATTATCATTAAGTAGCTTGAATTATTTTCTATGTATTTATAAATCTATATTAAAATTTGGTAAATAAATTGTATCAAAGACTAGCTGGTGTGACCATATCTTCAAAACAAAATTAATAGATATTTTTCAGTGAATGTAATTTAAATTACACAATATAATTATTATTAATATTTTTTTACTTTGTCAAATATCACACACAGCTTATTGACTTTATATTTTAAATAAGAGTCTGTATCATAATGGTAAATTATGAGGAGTACCATAATAAATATTTTAAATAACTTTTTAAATAAAAATGATTTACATTCTCACATGATAGAACTGCATCAGACAATATAAATTTGTATAAATTAACATATACACAAAGTTGAATGTGATTAAGAGGTGCTCCATGTAAATAATCTAATCTCTAAACACAATTATAATGCGCTACTCTGGTCAGTATTCATGTGAAAAAAGTACCAGAAACCTTATTTAAATTATTATGCACCATCATATTCTGGCATAGGAATTAAAATATTTTTGGAACAATTAAACCTCTAAGCATATCAAATGAGTTCCCATCAGGATGAACAGATATCAATTTTCTGTTAGGATACTGAACCAGCAGCGAAATCAGAAACCGAAATCATCGATACTTTCGTCCATTACAACAATCTTGGCATTGCTAAAAGTTAAAATATTATATAATGTTTAGGATTTAATTAACAATAACAATAGTTTCATTTACTCACTTGTGCAACCAATACTTATAATACAGGTCATAAAGATAGTCAATATCTCCAGCTTGTACAATTTTAAAAATATTTTCTACCTCGGAGAAAACTAAGGCCAAAAACTTCTCATAACTAAGAGTTTGAAGATCAGTTCCATTATCAGCATTATGCTAAAATATAATAGATAATTAATACATATTTACTATAATTTATTAATAACACTATGTTGATTTAAACCATAATTAATTTCCTGTAGGGTAAGTTATTGTAGTAATTGCAAAGAAACTAGTGGTGTATGGCATCGTGCCTTAAGGCAAATTGCTGGAACTTCCCGTACCGTAATGAAATATTCAAGGAAAATTAAATCAAATCGATTAATCGATTAAAATAATAATTATAATAATTATTATAAATACTGTAACTTATATATGTTTATAAAAAAGTAAATAAACAAAGCTTAACCAATCAAATTTAAAATGAAAACATTGTTTAATTTATGAAAATTATACAAACTGAATAATATAAATAAAAAAACTAAAAGCAAACATTTCGTTAACACAAGCAGAAACTAAAAGCAAACATTTCGTTAACACAAGCAGAAAGTTCAAATCGAATGCTGATCTCTCAAAAACTCATTTTTTGCATATTGTCCTCGGTATCTCCGAAACGACTGGACCTGCCTTTGCCAAAAACTAATCACCATTTCTCCTCGTCATATATATTAAATGTTTTTTGGATCATTCAAATTGAATGCTCCGTTCTCTCAAAAACTCGATTTCTATTTTCCGCACGCTTTGCTCCGTATCTCCGTAACGGCTGGACCTGCCTTTGCCAAAACTAATCAGCACATCTCCCTATCAATAGGAATTGAATGTTCACACACACACTCCATTTTTTCTCAGGTATGCCAAAATGTTCAGAAACCTTCAAAACACAGAAAAATGCAAAAAATTTCAATTTCGATTTTTAGACGATTTTTTCAAATAATTTCAAAAAATAGAAAAAAAATTAAAGCTTAAAAAATTTATTTCCAGCAATTGCGAAAGTTCCAGCAATTTTCCACTAGTTTGTATTTTCTTTGGAATAAATAGAATAATATCTAAGTATATCTAAGTATGCGATTCGTTGCTTCGATATACGAGCAAATTAGTTAAACAAGCAAAAAAGAGTTATCCAGAAAAATGTTAATGGCGAAATATATTTCATAAAAATATGAAAAATTCCGTCAGTTGTAATAAAGATTTTCCTATAATAGAAATATTTTGGATGTTTCATAATAGTAAATTATTTTATAATAAGTATACTTGAAATTATAGTTTCAATTATACATTAATATTAATTATGTAATAACGATTTACACATGAGAATATATTGAGAATTATTTTAAAGTTTGAAATTTTGACTATACATTAATAGTGATTGTAAATTAGATATATTGATTTGCGTTTTTTGCTTTTTGTACATTTACAAAATATTATATACTACAATGTCTTTTGAATTAAAGCATGAAATTGTTGAAAAATATGAAGATGCCAAGAATGTACGAGCATAGAACATCATAGACATTTAAACAGAAGGAGTTGATAAAAGGTATAGCTCTTGCTAAGGAGTAATTCCTGAATAACTCCTGAGCTCTAAAAATTTGTGGATGCAATGCCGAAACGAATTAATGGCATTTCAATATATTATAAAAGAAAAATTGCTTAGAGATACGGCCGATTCGACATACGAGCGTGGTACGGAACGAATTAAACCCGCATATCGGAGTACCACTGTAAAACATTTCTTTAAAACATTATGTAATTTGTTTATTACAAACCTTTTTAATAACATCATTTATACAAGTAGTTGGATCACTATTATCCAAATTTACTCCACAACCCACATTACAAACAGTGATGTCTGAATCTAAAGTGCTGGTTACAACAAGGCCACCAATTTTTACTGCACCATGAGCATATATGTCATTTGGCCATTTCAGGCCAATATCGAGGTCCTATAAATGATATGAACAATTGATAGAATGAGAAGTTCAATTTATAGGATGAAAACAATTCATCAATTTCCTTTACCTCATATCCAGGCTGTGATAAAACGGCTGATACTACGGCAGTAGCCACCAAATGCTGAACTACTGGTGCTCGTTGCCCTAGTGGTGAATCAGATGGCACATGTAGTTGAACTGAAAACATAGCACAACCATCGGGAGATAACCATTGATTGGCGGAGCGCCCGAACCCTATGTAATATAAAAAAAAAAAAATGTTTTTAAACTAAACAAACTAGATCGATTATCAATTATAGCCATTCAATTGAAAGTGGAATTTAAGAAAGGTTTTAAACTAATAATACTTAGATTATAAAAATAAAGTTTACATACCTCAAAAAATTGGAAGGCTGACATTGAAAGAAATCATGTGTTTATATTTACAACTTAAATATATAAAACATTTTTCACAAAACTATTTTTGTTAATATAAATTCAATACCTTAGTTTGGAATCTTGGTATAACTACAATACCATGTTGAAGTTTTACACCAGATAAAACGTCCTGAGAACTAGTCATGACTGATGAATAGATAACCAACCGCCCCACATGTTCAGACTTCAAATTCTGCCAAAAATAAATTAATAATTACTCTAATTAAACATTTATAAAAATATAAATATAAGTTAGTTACACCAAGTATTCAATTGTACTAAAATTATCTGGACAGGAATGTACTCTGATCGGCAACATATATTGCGTGGCTGGAGGTGGGGTTTCACCTGAAATGGTTTAAGTTTTATGAATAGTTTAATTAGTGATTTTATTTGATTTGTTTTTTGCTCACCTAAACCACAAAATCTCAGCGTCAATTTGGATGTTTTGAGTGATTGGTTGGAATCCATCATTGATTCCAGAAATTTAAGCAGAGAAGTTTTAACTGTAATTGAAATTATTTGCATTATTTATTATTTTTAACGTTTAATTATAAAGATGAATATTTAACATATCCAATGACACCTTCATTATAAATTAATTAAAGGCACACATTAAGATTAAATATCTCATTGAATGAATGACTCACCTCATGTCTGCCCAAAAAGAAGGCATGCGTGTAACTTTCAACCGGAGACTTGATAGAATCAGCCTTATTCTCAGAACATTGAAGGTTTAGGTGTCTGCCTAAAATATCTCTTAAAATTTCCAAACGAGCTTCATTGCTTTCCTTCAAAACTGAATACTTTGCTTCTTCTGATTCATACTGTGTGGGAATACTTCCAAATGTACCTAATATGTAAGAAAGTAATAAATGTAAAAAATGTTAAAATGTTAAACTGCATACATCCTTATGGATTTGCTAAAAATCGTGCCTTAAAGCAAATTGTTAGATTAAGATTAAGAACTATGGGAGAAAATAATCAAACAAAAAATCTCACTTCCAATTATTTTTTAACAGTGCTGCAGTTACAAGATTATGTGGAGCTCTTTATATTTACTTCAAATCTAATAATTAAAATTATAAATGCCATAGACATAAAACAATGATATATATGTAAGAGATGTGTAGCGGTATTATGTAATTTAGTATATGGCTAAATGTCACCAGTTTATAAGCCAATAATAATAATAAAACAAAAAAAGATTAAGAACTGAAAAAATGAGATTTTGAAAAATTTTGACTTATTTGATTTTATTTTTTAATGTTTGAATTTTTTGCACATTATAACTTCCTGTAGGGCAAGTTTATAATAATGAGCCAAAAATCGAAATGAAAATTTTTGCATTTCTTCACGTTTTAGAGGTTTCTGAACATTTTGTCATACACCAGAAAAAATGTGATGTTTGTGTTTTTGTGTGTGAAAAATTTTAGGCCAAGCAGGTCTAGCCGTTACGAAGATACAAAGCTAAATGTGCAAAAATTGCACCATACACCACTAGTTAATTTTAATTTTCGGTACAGGAAGTTCTAGCAATTTGCCTTATAGCACGATGCTATGCACCATTAGGACTAACTAAAGTTGGAGATTGACAACCGGATATTAAAAATAAGTTTTTTTGAAGTTAAAAATAAGCCCATAAGTTTTAGAAAATCTGAATCGTTCTTGTCGACAAGAACTGTTTTAGTAATGCATTTGTGAACAATTATTATTAGGAAATAATTAGGAACATTCCAATTACATTCCACTGAAGATGATACAAAGCAATGTGTCTAAATGTATGGAAACAATAAAAATGGTAAAAGTTCCTACATGTTTTTAATTGATGTATTGCCCTGAAGATTGAATCTCTCACATTTCAACATCAAAATTATTAAAGATTTTACATATACATATATATATATATATATATATATATATAAATATATTTATATTTTGTTATAGTTATAATGTGGTAATCATACCTGACTAAAAACAGCTCTTCCAATGGAAGATGCACTCAATTTATTATTCTGATCGGGCAGTGCTGTGGCCAACAATAAACTAGGCGTGTGCCATGTTTCTTCTGCACCCAAAACCTCAACCGATAACTTATGGGGTCGTCCATAAGAATCACGAACTTCTATTGAGGACGGAGCTCGTGGTTGAACAGAAGAACTTCTATTAAATAAGAACGTGTTCATTTATAGATACAAGCATTTAATGGCAATTAAAATTACCCTTGAGATTGATTATTTTCTTCAATGGAATCATGCATGAAATGCTTTCGTGCTGGTGAAGCCTGATAACAAAATATATGATGCATCATTCGAACATTTTGCCATCTGCCATAAGAGAAACGGACAAGCTCGTGCTCGCGTACCTAAAAGTGTACTTTAAATTTTAAAATATAAAATTTTAATAGTTAATAACTGATCTGTTATGTACCTCTGCAGTTTTGTACGTGGGAAGCACTGTATGTATCAAATCTGAACACAAACACAGCAGTTTTCCACCTTTTAGTAAATAATTCAATAATCTAGGAGCAACATCTGAAGAAACGGTTCCGCAAACTATGACTAGCAAAGCATTGTCCATCCAAGTGTCCGTCATGACTTGTGGTTTAGTTAGAGTATATATTGTATATCTGATAACAAAGAAATAAATGTTAAATTCCAGAAAACAATATAATAAGGTAAAAAGGTTATCCTCTTTACCATATAATAATAATAATAAAACAATGTAATACTTATTTTTCTGCAATATACTCTTCAGAGCACTCTTGACATTATCAACAGCTACCAAACTTTCAGAAAACACCAATATATTTGGTGGTTTAATCTTTCCTGCATATTTCCTTAATTCAAGTGTTTCATCAGATATTTCCACTTGGCTCTTGAAAGTGACCGATTTTGGTGACCCTGTCATTTTCGAAATACTTTGAGATCTAATTTCTTCATCAGTCTGTATAGGCCTTTGTTCTAAATCTCTTATGGTTAAAACTGGTTCTGGGAGTATTGTAGATCTATGAGTTCCATTTTTAAGGATTTTTGGACTAGATGTAAGTGGTTCATTTAGAGTCGTTTTACTAACTTTAAATCTGTCTGAAGGTTTGGCAATTAAAGGCTTTTTAACATCCTGTACTTCTTCATGTTTAAGTATACTCGTTTTGGTCTCTTGAACAGGTGCGGGTTCTGGGACAACTTTTTCATGTTCTTCCACCTGTTTCATTTGTTGGCTCGTACTAGACAAATCATTTTGCAATTCTACACATTCTACTTCATCTTTGAGCTTAACATTACTCTCTATATCATAAGTATTGTCACTAAGCTCCTTAAACATAGAGGCATGTAGTAGTAGATTATCAGTGTTTAATACATTTTGCAAGATGCATTGTCTTGTTCGGTCATTGCTTTGAATGCTTTTTGGTTTTCCATCAACATCAACAGCTGTAAAATAATATGATAGATGATGATAGATATATAAGATTTGTTTGGTGTATTAGAAATGACAATACACAACCGTCATACGCATGCGCACACCGATTTTGTTCGTTCGGCGGGTGCCAATATGAATTCCAAATGTTGTAGATCTTAAACTTCCAGAAGGATAAGTTTGTTTTCGCAAATAAAAAATCGATTCAGTTTTACGTTTTCGCGACGTTTCAAGTCGTTCTGAATCGAATAAGGCCAAATTTGTAAAAAAGAGCGCCGATTTTTGACCTTTCGTCGACGTTTTCCTAAATGGCTGAGCCGACGTCACAAATTTAAAATCCATTCTATGTAACTCGATAAGGACTAAAGTTTGTAACTCTTGTGCGACGATTGGCAGAGCCGTTTCTTTGTAATTAGCCGAAAAGTGTAAATTTTTTGGTCGACGTCTTAGCCTACAATTTTGAACTTAGCGAAGTTTATAATTCTTCAAGGCATTTTGCCTTAAGGCACGTTGCTTGAACTTTCCGACATGTATAAATTTTTTACTTAATTATTAATAAATGAATATGTATATTACTTTATGAGTAATTTATAAGTATGCCAAGTGGCTATATGATTTCATACTGTGAAAAATTATTGCCAATTATTCAATTCAGTACAATTTTCCAGATTATTGAAAATCGAACTATTAGTATCTAATACAACTCGGAATAGTTTCTAAAAGCACTGCCGAATAATTAAAATATAGATAAATTTATATAATTGAACCACTTTTTGCAGGACTATAATTTGTCAATTATTTTTAACTAAGACCAGGTTCTTTATCGCCATACCATCAAGTACCATTAAAATCATCGAATGTTTTTTAACAAACAATTGCGAGAAAATGACCTGACCGATCTTAGTCCAAAAATAGTAATCAGCACTGTTCTCAAATAACATCTGTAGAAAAGTATTTGAATTTTCAAAATCGGATCAGATGTTTTGGCTAAAACGCTGCAAAAAAATTTTGCACTTTTCTGCTAATTTTGAAGAAACGGCTCATCCGAACGTACCAACAACAACCAACGCGAGAGCTTACCAAGTTTAATCGAACGGCTTGTAAATTTTAAAATCAGTAAAGCCGTTTTTGAGAAAACGATGAAGAGTCTAACTTTAACAACAAACGTCAAAGAACGCTACTGATTTCAAACTTTGATGAATTTTAAAAATTAAATGACTTATCGTAGGCCCCTAATATTTAAGTATGTTCTTTAGGACCATAATATGTAATAATATATAAAGTATCATAAAATTCATCTTTTTTTTTAACATTTAATTACGAAGAAAACGGCTTAGCCGGCTATATTGAATGGCTTTTAAATTTTTGAAAACATACAAAACACACACACTTTTCCAAATTTGGTCTTATTCGATTTCGAATGACTTGATACGTCGAGAAAACATAAAATTAGCAAATCGGATTTTTTGCGAAAACAAACTTCTCCTTCGGGAAGTTAATAATGATATGATAGAAGGGAAAACAAATATGTACAGACTAGTCTAACTCAGTTAAATTAGGATTAGTCTAATTCAGATTTCACTAGGTTAAAGACTCTGACTAGTTCAATGTTAGCTCTAAAAAAAATGTAGCAAAAATAAAGCGAGAAATTGCAAATGTTAAACAATGTGTGATACCTAAGTTTTCAATACCATAAATCTTGTACATGAAACTCACTTTCTATTCTCAGTAATTCCATGCCTCCATTTATGTAAATGTCTCCTTTTAAAATTTCTGAGCAAGTTCTGTCAACTGTTGCAGTTCTGTCAACTGTTGCAATGTGGAAGACAGAACCATGCAGAAGGTTTTATCAAAATGCCATGCAATTAGTGATCCATAATGCTGCAACTGGTTTTAATAAAAAGCATTCGTTAAAATACATTTGAGGAGAAAAAATTACAAGTTAATAATTGCATGAATATAAATCAAATAAAATATACAGATGTATGTATTTTAATAGCTGACAAGGAAGCAAATATCATCAATATAATGTAGCAAAATTCAAGTATGTATAGTATTTGACTTGAAATTTGTATTATTTATGAAATGGAAAATTATTGCCACCTAGCTTCTTAGATAGTAAAAATAATATAGGAATATATTTCATTTATTCTTACATCGAGTTTTTCAAATTGTTGTCCATTATATTCCTTTAGCTGAGCCTCTATTAATAGTTTTAAATCCTCAAACCGATTAAAAGTGCTTTCTGAGAGTGAAGTATCTTCTACAAAGAACATACATAATAACGCTATAATTAGTATGTTATATTGATATGAATTTTGAGCATTTTATGAAATTAGATCAGTTTAAATTAATAATGATAATTTACAAAAGCACATGAACAAGTTTGCAAGCAAATTGAGCGTTGCGATTTAATATATTTACACTATTGTTATTATAAGCTCTAGGTAATTACTATAGTAATATTATTTTGATAAAAATGAATATTAAATTTTGTATGTATTTCTAAAACAAATTCGTGTCCTCATTTGGCATAGAAATAAAAAAAACTAGTGGTACATGGCATCGTGCCTTAATGCAAATTGCTAGACCTCCCGTACTTGAAAACTTTTTAAATAAATGACAAAATTCTACTTGCTTGAAAATTTTGTAACCCATTCAAGTCAGTTGAACCGTACTGATGTGAAAATGTCGAAATCATTTGTTTGAACTATTTAAGTAAAGTATAAACACTATAAATCTTAGTGCAGAACCAATAAAAATAAAAAAATGCATGTCATTTTTTGTTAAAATCTCTCCAAAATACATGATAATGTGATGAGCATTTACATATCTAGAGATAATTTTTGACCGCCAAAAACGCTTTTTTTACTTTTTTTGGAACTACGAAACCGTTTGACCTGCCGTCTCAAAAAATCAATCAGTTCTTCATTTCATCAAAACAATTAAAATTATGTTTTAATCATTCAATCGATCGCTCCATTCTCTCAAAAATTGTATTGCACTTTTTCCCATTATCTTCGAAACGGTTGGACCTGCCTTTGCCAAAACTAATCAACACGACTACCCATCAATTGGAATCGAATGTTTTGCGAATCATCTAAATCAGTTAATCTAATTTTTCTAAGGTGTGACGAATGTTTAGAAACCTACTTTGAAACGTAAAGATAAGTGTAAAATTTCATTTTCATTTTTTTCAATTACTATAACTTACCTTTACGGAAGTTAAAAAATATTCTGTAGCAATCATTTGGAAATCGTGCTGATTAGATTTTTACAGAGATGGGTCAGGCCGTCTCTTCGTAATTGATGGTTACATTTTTTTCAATAAATTTATAGAATATTTATATAGCATTAGAGTACGACTAGACATGGTTTTATTGAACATACTAAAATATTATAATCCTACGAAAAGCGGTTCAATTACAAAAAATATTTAAAATTTGAATTATTCGACTGCGCTTTTAGAAACCACTCTATCTATGTATTAGGCACTTATTTGTTTTTCAATCATAAACATAAACAAAAAATAAACAAAAACGTGTAATCTTTTTTTTTTCAGAAACTTTAATAATCTGCACTAGTTTCTTTCATTATAACGCTCCACAGAAATTTTAAATCGCTCATACATTAACTTATATTGATTTCTTATTAAGTAAGTCGATTATTTACACATGTCAGAAAGCTCATGCAACTTGCCTTAAAGCAAAATATATTTTTTTTGTTACTTGCAAGCACACTAAATATTTTCCTCGTTAATTGAAATCCAGCCGTTTTGGATATGCGAAGCAAAGAGTGCAGAAAATAGAAATCGACTTTTTGAGAGTAGGAGCATCAGATATGAATGATTCAAAAAACATTTAATTTGTAATGATACTGAAAAGTGGTGATTAGTTTTAGGCAAAACTAATCATCGGTCCAGCCGTTTCGGAAATATTGAGCGATCTCTCAAAAATTGGAGTTTTAGAGAGAATGAAATATCAGATTTGAATGGCTCAAAAAACCTTTTGCTTGTATTGGCGAAACGATTAATTTTGGGAAAGCAATGATAAAAAATGCCAGTTTGGGGTCGTTCAAGTATTACGCAGATTTATTACAATTATTTACCCCCCCCCCTCCTACCCCTCTTGTCAGCAAAAGTAAGCAAAGCTCTTACTCCCCACCCCAATGCTTACGTAAACATTTTGCAATTAATGTATTGTTTTTAAAATACTACCTATGACGTAATCATCATTTAGACCCAAAATAAGCAAATCAATAACCCCCCCGCCCCCCTATAGTGCTTACGTAATACTTGAACGGCCACTTTTTGAGAGAACTAAGCATCCGATTTGAATGATTCAAAAAACTTTCTGCTTGTTTTGACAAAATAAATGCTTTTGGAAAAAAAAATATTTCAAAATTTTTTCAAGTTTTTTTTAAAAAAAAAAAATTTTTGTACATGTATCCAAAATAATTTAGATTTTAATTTTAATTCTAGCTGAAGTTCTAAAGCTTACTTATATACTTTAAATAAACAATTTTAACTTTGTAATTAAGTTTATATAACTCTATAAATATTAGACAATGTTACAATATTTATAATAATTTATATGAAAACATTTAATAATTCTCGAATATTTCGTTACGGTACGCGAAGTTCCAGCAATTTGCCTTAAGGCACGATGCCATACACAACTAGTTTTTTTTTAATTTTCAAAAATGATTTTGAATTTCGGGAAGTAATCGGGTTTTAATTTTAATTTTAGCTAACATTCCAAAACTCACTCATATTTGAGATAAATAGCTTAAACTTTGAAGTTTAGTTAATATAATTCTTATTGTTAGAAATATGAGATAAAATCCTTTATTCTAACTCCGCTCATATAAAGCGACATAAACGCCGTCATCCAATACATAATCTCTTCTATTTTGTCTATGAAATACGAATAATGAAAGTTATAGATACAGTATTTGTAATAATATATTTGAAAACATTTAATAATCTCGAATATTTCATTACGAAACGAGTAGTTCCAGCGATTTGCCTTAAGGCACGATGCCATACACCACTAATTTTATTACCTTTCCTTTTACTCAAAAAAGACGAGAAACAAGTTTATTTAGGCTGTTACAGGAGTCACCCTTTAACTTGTAACTTACAAATTAGTTTTGTTAGTTAATGTTGCAAATTGCACTATTTAATAATAAACTAAACAATTACCATTCTCATACCTATCTCAACTGATTCATAATCTCTAGCAGTAATCCAATCCGATATAAATAATTTTCGCGAAGGAAACAATGTGCAAAGTCTCAAAGGCCCTTCCAGTTGCAAGACTTCGCAAACACGGGCCTTCGATATGTTGACTGAATTTACAAGGCACGGACCTGTGACATCTGAAAAAATAGAAAAAAGTTATATAATAAGATATAAAATTATTGCAAATTAAATTAATATTTATAATATTTATAACTTTTGTTGTTGGTAGTTGAAATAGGAGAATGTTTTTAATATTATGCATTTATAATATTATTAGTTAAAGGAGAACGATGCATAAGTTGATAGTTGAAATATGAAAATTTATATAAGCGATTTAAGAATAATAACAGAGAAAATTGCACTTTACTTAACAGAGTTTTTGTAGAAAGCTTTCTTAAATTTATGAACTTTTTTAACATCGTTAACATAATATCAGATCATAACCTTTTACATATTTAACATCCCGTGGGGTATGTTACAGTAATCGCAAAAAAATCGAAAATAAAAATTTTATATATCTTTATATTTCAGAGGTTTCTGAACATTTTGGCATACCATAGACAAAATGTGTGTGCATATACAATTTTTTGGTTCGACTATTTCGGGAACACGGATCAACCGATTTGAATAAATAAAAAACATTCGATTCGTATTGATGGAGAGACGTGCTGCTTAATTTTCGCAAAGGCAGGTGCAGAAGATACGGGACAAAAGTGCAAAAATGTTAATTCAGTTATTGAGAAAATGTAGGGTCCGATTTGAATGATTCAAAAAATATTTTATTTGCATTGACAAAATGAAAAACTGATTAATTTTTTAGGTAGGCAGGTTCATCGGTTTCGGAGATTCAACAAAAAAGTAAAAAAAATATGCCATTTGGCGGTCAAAAATGCGAATTATCAGATATTTTGTACAGTTGTCAGTAATAAGTATAAATTTCGATTACATTTCTAAGAGTTCCATACCAATGGTTATCCATTAAACTGCGACGCGGCGCTAACGCGTTTTGATTAAACAAAGAAATAAAACAGCTACGTAGCGCTATTGTTTTGAAAAAAAAGTTCAAAATTTTTAATAAATTTCACAATATGAATAAAATCAAAATCCAAAAATAAAAAAAAAACAATTTTTCAAAAATTTCAAAAATGTCAAGAATCAAAATTCTTTAAAGTTTTCAAAAAAAATTAAAGCTTTTTTGAAAAATTTAGTTTTCAGTTTTCGGGAAGTTCCAGAAATTTGCCTTAACAACAAGTAGTTTTAATAACAATCAGAACTACGCGTTCATTGAGCTGTGATTACGTACATCCTAACATAAAATTTTTCTTCAAAGGACAACCCAGTGGTCAACCACACTTCTTTTAGGAGTAGGCTATATATATATACACCTAAGTCTGTTTTTACACGGTCTTTTTGTGCACGGTTTTGATATAACACGGTTTGAAAATTGAAGATTTTTAATTTTTTACGCGATTTTATTCCATTTAGCACGATTTGAAATTTTATGTACTTAAATTTTTTTTGTCAAATTTAATTTTTGCGAAGTATGTTCATATCACAAAAAAGTATTTATGAAAGAAAAAAGTCTGAAACCATCGATAGTATCGATAGTATCGATAGTTTGCGAACACTAGCTTAAAGATTTAAGTGAATTCCCCTTTAGCGCGTACAAACAATTTTTACTGGTCAAAGCAAATGTGAATAGCACTAATTTAGGGGAATACCCTAAAAATTCTTGTTTTTCACTAATTTTAATAGGTTTTGGAGATTAGGAACAAATCACCCATTTTTGTATAAGATCAATGTCTTTTTTACACGTTTTTTTTTGTACACGGTTTTTTCTGGAACCAATCTCCGTGTAAAAACAGACTTAGGTGTATATATATATATATATATATATATATATATATATATATCTAATATATATTAGATATATGTATTTCTGATAGTATTGGCGTAATATATTGCGGAAATGCTGCAAAGGCGATTTTTTCTTGAAATTATATTTGGGATATATAATCTCGACTGGAAACTAGATATCATTCTGCGTGTTATCAAACTGTCCGAAATTGGGATCAAATCTGGGATTAGTTAGTACTTGCCCACGTTTCTTTAAATATTATACGACGACGGGCGTAATCGATGTGTCATCAAAGTTAATATACTTAATAGTTATTCAATACATATGCAACTATACACATTATAACTCTAATAACTAATTATAAAAGAATCATTAACTTCCTAAAAGAAAAGTTTATGTTTTCTCGACAAAAACCGATTTGCTAATTTTATGTTTTCTCGGCGTTTCAAGGCATTCTGAATTGCATGATACCAAATTTGAAAAAAGTAAGAGTATGTATATGTATGGCTTTGTGTGTATGTGAGCCGATTTTTGACTTTTCGTCGACGTTTTCTCAGAAACGGCTGAACCGATTTCAAAAATATAAAAGCCATTCGATGTATCTCGATGAGGTACAGCGAAAATTAGTTTTGGACGACGATTGGCCCAGCCCTTGCTTTGAAATTGACCAAAAAGTGTAATTAGCAAAAAAGTGTAAGTGTAAAGAAGTCAAGAAAACATTAATCATTTTTTTCAAACTTCGATGGATTTGAATATGTAGAATTAAACGACTTGTCGTAGGGCCGTGATATTTTAGTATGTTCTATAAGACTCTGACCATGATATCTATCGCCAAAAAAGTTTCATAAAAATCGTCAAATTTTTTTGTAGTGATTTATGAGTATTCCGAGTTGGTATAGGGCATCATAATGTGAGAACAATTGCAGATTATTCAATTCTATACTAATAAAGCAAAATAGTAAAGCCTTTACTAATTTATTTTATTAGTTTAAAATAGGATAATGTTTAATTGTTTTTCATATTATGATGTCCTAAATCTGGGGATAAAAATGTAATTTTAGGGTGTAAAAAGTATATAGTTTTAATTGATATTTACTGAATTTGCTACGTAGTTGTTCGTATAGGGGCAATCTTTCTTCGCCTTATGTTAGGCAAAAATATTTTGGGGAATAATTAAAAAGATCCATATATCAACTCGGCATACTTATAAATCACTTATAAATTAATATATTGATTAAAACGATTATTCTCTAATATCAAGAAGTTCATGTAACTTGCCTTAAGACAAAATGCCATTTACAACTAGTTGTATATGTTTGTATGTATATGTTAAATCAATTGATCAGTTTTCTTATATGTCCGAAATGTAAAAGTAAACAAACTAGTGGGGCGCATGGCATCGTGCCTTAAGGCAAATTGCTGAAACTTGCCGTACCAAAAAATTTTTTTTTAAAAGATTAACATTTTTGAAAAAAAATTACTCTGAAAAATTGGATTTTTGAGAAACTATAAATTTTTGTCAGAAATTTACTTTTTTTGAAAAAAAAGACTTTTTGAAGAAAAGTGTATTTTGAAATATTTTGGAAATTCTGAACTTTTTTTCAAAGCAATCGTACTGCTTTAACAGCATAGAGACGAAATATCGAAGCGCGTAAGCGCTGCGCCGCCGTCTAACGGATAAGCATTGGTACGGAACCCACAGGAATGTACACAAAATTTATTTTTATTTTTTTTTTATTTATTTTACATGGCTGTGGATCTTGCGATCATTACGCCAGTTATAATTTTACTTATTGTTAAAATGTCTATAAAATATCTCATAATTTGATATGCATATGTCTAATGATCATTTTTGACCGCCAGATGGCATTTTTTTTTACTCTTTTTACTAGATCTCCGAAACCGCTAGACCTGCCTTCATTAAAGTTTGATCAGTTCTTCATATTGTTAAATGTACAAGTAAAATGTTTTTTGAATTATTCAACTCGGATGCTCCATTCTTTTAAAAACTGAATTACCGTTTTTGGCACTGTTTGCCCCATATCTTCGGAACGGCTAGACCTGCCTTCGCTAAAAACTAATCAGCACGTCTCTTTATCAATACGAATCGAATGATTCTTGAATTATTCAAATCGCTTCATCCGTGTTCCCGAAATCGTCGACGAAAATTTGTATCCGAACACACATACATACACGCACACATACACACATATACACATTTAATAAAAAATAAATATTTTTAATTTCCATGCGGTATAATACCTTAGAAAAAATAGATGCAAGAGTGTGTATGTGTGTATATATGATATGTGTGTGTATGTGTGTACGTGTTCGGATACAAATTTTCGTCGACGATTTCGAGAACACAGTTCAACTGATTTGAATGATTCCAAATTGCCAAAAATGGTACTCCAGTTTTTGAGGAAACGGAGCGTCTGTTTCGAATAATTTAGAAAAGATTTTATTTGTATTGATAAAATGAAGAACTGATTAAATTTTTGGGAAGGCAAGTCTAGCGGTTTCGGAGATCGAGTGAAAAAGGTTAAAAAAATGCTATTGAACGGTCAAAAATTATCATTAGACATATGCACATCAAATTATCAATCTACAGAGATATTAATACTGAGTATAAATTTTGTTCACATTCTTATGGGTTCCGTAACATTGTTTGCATCTTCTTTAAAAAAGAATTAATCTTTAATACGGGAAGTTCCAGCAATTTGCCTTAAGGCACGATGCCATACACGAGTTTTGATTTAGGAAAATAAAATTATATAACATGTTTGCATACATGCGTATAAATGACATAAAACAAAGGTTATGCAATCATATTTACACCATATTCAAAACAGAAATTAAATTGAAAGATAATGTACTATATTTTGAAACTATGAAAATCGTTTGTAAAATTGGCAACTTTATTCTTATGTCAACAAAATAATAATAATAACAATAAACTGTAAGCTCTTACACATGTAATATTCATATGTGCATTAAAAATATAATCGTCGTTTTATATATTTATTATTGAAAAGAACTTCATAAATACCTTGTTCACCCAAAACATTCTCTGACATTTTATACAATACAACACTATAACGATCAGCCAAATATTTGCTTAAACGAGTTCTTAAAGAACCCAATCTCCATGCTTGTAACCATGTCGCAGCCATGTAATATAATGTAAATATCATGCTTTAGATAAAATTTTGTTCTATTTACAAAAAAAAACTAGATCGATTTCTTTAGCTCTCTTATCACAAAACTAGAGCATTTTTATCAGATTGTTTATATGCATTAGTTTGATTGAAACTATTATATCAAAGGATAAACAAGGATTATATAAATATTATAAGATATCACAACACAGTGTTTCATGATAGCATTATTTCTTGAAGCATTTGCACAAATTTGCAGTGTCTTTCAGAACTGTCAGATGTGACATTTTGTTCGATGACAATGTCAAAGGCTGCACAGAGTTCGCACTGGTCGCTGATAGATGGCGCAAATATAAAATTTATATTATTTTTGAAAAGCGGGATTTTTCAAATTTTGAATGTGTGTCCATTTTTATTAGTTTATACTTGTTTATCTATGTGTTCTACCATGGTATTATCAAAAACTAGTAGTGTATGGCATCGTGCCTTAAGGCAAATTGCTGGAACTTTCCTTACCAAGATTAATTTTTTTTTTAATCTTTGAAAAAATTTGATTTTTGGAAAATTTAAAATTTTTGAAAACAATTGACTTCTTTGGAAAAAAAAGTTTTTTTTATTTTGAAATATTTTGAAATATTTAACTTCCCGTAGGGCAAGTTATAGTAATCGCAAAAAAATCGAAAATGAAAATTTTTATATATCTTTACATTTCAAAACCTTCTGAACATTTTGGCATACCTTAGAAAAAATGGATGTATGCGTGTGTGTGTGTGCGTGTATGTATGTGTGTGCGGATACAAATTTTCGTCGACGATTCCGGAAACAAGGATGAAGCAATTTGAATATTTCAAAAAACATTCGATTCTTATTGATAAGGAGACGTGCTGATTAGTTTTTGACGGAGGCAGGTCTAGTCGTTTCGAAGATACAGGGCAAAAAGTGCCAAAAACGGTAACTCAGTTTTTAAGAGAACGTTTTTTTTGAAAAAAAAAAATGTTTTCTTTATTTTGACTTATTTTGGAAATTCTGAACTTTTTTTAAAGCGTACTGCTTTAACTGGTACGGAATACTGATAAATATTGGTACGGAACCCAAAGGAATGTAAACAAAATTTATACTTATTGTTAAAATCTCTATAAAATATCTGATAATTTGATGTGCATATGTTTAATGATCATTTTTGACCACCAAATGGCATTTTTTTCCTTTTTTTACTAGATCTCCGAAAAATAGATCTGCCTTCCCAAAAATTTAATCAGTTTTTCGTCTTGTCAATACAAGTAAAATTTTTTCTGAATGAATAAAATCGGACCCTCCGTTCTCTTAACAACTGAGTTACCGTTTTAGGCACTTTTTGCCCCGTTTCTTCGAAACGGCTAGACCTACCTATGCCAAAAAGTAATCAGCACGCCTCCTTTTTAATACGAATATAATGTTTTTTAAATTATTCAAATCGGTTGATCCGTGTTCATTTGGATCCGTGTCATTTTGGCGGTCAAAAATATCAAAAAAATGTACATCAGATTATCAGATATTCTATAGAGATTTTAATAATGTGTACACATTGTGTAAATTTCTTTGGGTTGGGTACCAAGATTTTCAATTACGGTACGGGAAGTTCCAGCAATTTGCCTTAAGGCACGATGCCATGCACCCCACTAGTTAACTTTCGGTAGGGTGAGTTATTGTAATGGGCCGAAAATCGGAATTGAAAATTTTTACATTTCTCGACGTTTTGAAGGTTTCTGAACATTTTAGCATACTTCAGAAAAAATGGATGTGTGTGTGTGTATCTATGTATGGATACAATTTTTCGCCCACGTTTTCGGGCGTACGGATCAACCGATTTGAATGGTACAAAAAACATTCGATTCCTATTGATAGGGAGAAGAGCTGATTAGTTTTTGGCAAAGGCAGGTCCAGCAGTTACGGAGATACGGAGCAAAAAGTGCAGAAAATAGAAATCGAGTTTTTGAAAGAACGGAGTATCCGATTAGAATGATCGAAAAAGCATTCAATTAGTAGTGATTGGGAGAAGTGTTTATTAGTTTTTGGCAAAGACAGGCCCAGCCATTTCGAAGATACGGAGCTAAATATATAAAAAATAGCAGTTTTTGAGAGAATTAAGCGTCCAATTCAAATGATTCAAAGAACTTTCTGCTTGTCTTAACAAAATAATTGATTTTGAAAAAAAAAATTGTTTCAATTTTTTTTTTTTTTTTTAATTTTTTGTATATCGAAAATAATTCAGATTTTATTTTTAATTCTGACTATAGTCCAATATACTTTACAAATAATTTCAACTTTGCAATTTAGTTTATATAATTCTTATAAATATTAGTCAATGTTACAATTACAATATTTATAATAATCGTTACGGTACGAGAAGTTCCAGCAATTTGCCTTAAGGCACGATGCCACCCACCCCACTAGTTTTTATTTTATTTTAATAAACATTTTTAGTTATTAATATAGCATACAAGATCTGAATGGAATCGTTATTTGTTTGTTGATAAATATAAAAGATTTCCTTTCGCATATTTTCAATGATATCTCGGTAAATGATGCGCTAGGGAAACTTGATATAAAGGGTTTTTTTTCGAAAAGACCTATAAAATGTCCAAATCATTTAAATACCAGGGGGGTTTCTATTCTATATAGAATCACGACCATATACTTTGAATTTAATTAGAAGTTTTTTTTCGAATAAAAGGTGGAGATTTATAAATACTTTCTAATACTTGCAGACGGAGTAACAAGGACCACTTTTAATGCAAGGAAATCAAAACTTTGTAATACAATGAATGAATCGCACATAAGTAAGCAATTTTATAGAACAAGTTGCTCTATAAAATCTAATATTGTACTATTTTTTAAAGTGGCATTTGCCTAATTAAATTTGGTAGGTGTAAATGGAATTTTGCCTCAAGGCAAGTGGCATGAACTATCCGATATGTGTAAATAACCGATTTAATCAATGAATATTTGATTTGTATATGATTTACCTGTCTAACAGTCTACTTGTTTACCTGTTTAAGTACGCATTTTCAATTGTACTGTGTAATTATGCATTTTTAATTGTCCTCCTGTGTAAGTTTTCTACTTTTGTACCTGCCTACCTGCCTCGCATTTACTTGTCTACTTGTGCCTATTTACCTGTCTACCTGTCAGCAAATCGTTTTTTTTTTTTTTGCAAAAGCATAATATTCACCTTTGTGAAGTTAAAAAAACAATAAATTTAAAAATTTTCGGTATTTACTTTGCTAGGAGTATTTTCAAAGTTTTGAACTATTGAATAAACAGAACATAATAGCACCACTTATGCATTACATGGTTAAATTAGTCTGTTTCGACTTGTAAAAGTTCAAATAACCAGCATTAATTTACGAGTAATAACAAAGTCATTATTATTCAATAGTCCTATACAATTCCAACTGGAATAAAAGTTAATTATAATATTTAAAACTATAAATAAAAAAGAAATTGTAACCATAAAGTATTCAATATCATTATATAATAATGATTTTAAGTATTATCAAAAAATAATATGCCCAATTGAATTAATTCATTATGTCTTATTAACCATTTTGTACTACAAAATTAGTGCTAATTCAAAAACACTTACAGACCTTTGAAAATCAATTTTTAACAATAATTTACTTTTTTATAACTTCTTTATAACTAATTTGTTTTTTTAATTTATTTAAATAATAGATAAATTGATTATTCTGCTTCCTTATCCTCCGCGTCCAAAATAGTTTTGAAGCAGAAGGGTTGGAACAAATAACCCAAACCAGAGTAGAACTTACTCATGAACTCCACCCTGAAAATGGAAAAAAAAATTATTAAGAATGATCTGCGAGTAGAGAAATAATTGATAATTAAAATTATTTCATCATATTTTGCACTATACATTTTTTAATATTTTTTATATCCTATTTATAAAAAAATATTCAGAAAAGCATATTCGTTGTTTGTCAAAGCAGTATATATAAGATGCACCTTCATAAAATCTTATTGTGCAGCTTTGAATGAAAATGCTTCCATTAACTAAATTTATTAACAGGTAAACTATTTTAAAATTTTATTCATGGCAACTCAAAATTTAACTAGTTGGTATCTAGTTGGTAGTTGGTAACTAATTAAATTTTGAGTTAAGTCATGAATAAAATTTTAAAATAGGCAAGTATAAAATTCTTAAAGGCAAGTTACACGAACTTCCCGATATGTGTATGTGTAAATTAATTTAATAGTGGTTAAAAGTATTCGAAGTGGATTTATTACACATTATTGAAAATCGAACACGTCAACCCGGTCTGAAAGCAAATTTTCAAAAATCAATAATTTTTATAATTGAACCAGTTTCCGTAAGACTTTAATGATTTAGTATGTTTATTAAGACCAAGTTATACCAAATCTATCGTTATACCAAATAAATCGTCTAATTTTAATTTTAACAAACGTGAAAAAAACTACTCATTTTCTCAAACTTTGATGAATTTTTAAAATTAAACTACTTGTCGTAATGACGTAATATTTCAGCAAGTTATATAAGACCGTGATATATATCGCCAAAAAAATTCCATGAAAATCGGTTTAATTTTTTTTCAACAGTTAGTTACAAGAAAACGTCTCGGTAGATTTTCACCTAAAGCTAATCAGTATCATTCCGAGCTAATAACTTTCAAACAGTTTTTGATTTTTAAAAATCGATTCGGTACTATAAGCTTAAATGTGGACGAAAAGTTTAACATTTTTTTCAAATTACAAAGAAACGGTTTAGCCGATCGCTGCACAAAACTGAGAAAAGATAATTCACACCGAAATACATCGATCGGCTTTTAATTTTTGAAATCGGTTCAGGTGTTTTTAAGCAATCGTCGATAAAAGTTCTAAGTTTGACATACGCCAAAAAAAACGATTATAATTTTTGCAAAGTTTGATGAATTTTTAAAATTAAATGACTTGTCGCAAGTCCGCAGTATTTTAGTATGATCTATAAGACTATGGTATCTGCCATCAAAAAAAAAATCATAAAAATCGTCGAAAAAAAATTTTTAACACTTCATTACAAGAAAACTGCCCGGCCGATCTCTACCAAAAACTCATCAGCACCAATATCTTTCGAACGGTTTTTGAATTTTCAAAATCGATTCAGAACTGCGGGCTAAAACGTGGACGAAATGTTTTCACTTTTCTGCTATTGACAAAGAAACGGCTTGTCTGATCGTCGCGCAATAAATCGAATGGCTTTTAAATTTTTGAAATCGGCCCAGCCGTTTTTGAGAAAACGTCGAATTACGGCAAAAAATCTGTTCTCTCACACAACACACATACACACATACACACATTTCGGCATTTATGGGGACCAGAGGCAAGGGCAATGGAAAATCATGTATAAAAAAATTGAATCCAAAAATAAAATTGATATCCAACTATGAGTAACTTACCAGTGAAGACGCAGTGTGTGCAAGAACGCAGAAAGGCCTTCCATCATGACTAGGATGGCAATTGTGAATAGTGCCCACACGCAGAATATCACATAGAGCATAATCGAGCCAGTATATGTTGTTTGGCTCAATCCCATGGACAACACCATTTTCCACAATACGTCTGAAAGTTCTGTAATAGAATAAATTAGATTAACTCTTTGATTTGACATAGTTCATTAGAAGGATAGAAGCGTATAACTCATATAAAAAAATTTTTTTTAGTATTTTTACATTAAGGTGAGTGCTTAAGAGGGTATGGCGGAGCACAAAGGTCCAATTTGACTTTGAGCAATCAAAAGCAACTGTCTGGCTATGTTCAGTAAAACCTAGATAATTTATCTAATTGTAGAAATATGCTTTTTGCTATTTGTACCTAGTCAATTGTACCTAATAGGCGCGGTAAAATCGGACCAGCAGGAGGCAAAGAGGTCCAAAATCTTATTTTTAATTTTAAAGAGATTTTACGAAATAATACCTATTAATATTAATGCGTTACTCAATAAGTCCGTAGGATAGCACATAGATGATGTAGCTATGTTTTCAACCATATGGTTTGTAGGAAACAGCAACTTTAAGATAGACTTTAAGAAGATATATGTCAAAATTTCATGACAATCGCTACCTTTGAGTTTTTCGAAACCATAAATTCAAAGAAACTTTTGTGTTTATTTATCATTGGTTTTTGATGGGTAAAAATCGCTTAATAAGTATTATCTGGACTGTTCCAAATTGAGGTAGATGGTGAAGAAGTGGTTGCCTGATTTTAATCGTGGTCATACAGCCACTGACGATGCTGAACGCTCTGGAAGGTCAATTGAGGTGTTTACACCGGAAAATATAAAAAAGTTTTTAGAAACGTTTTGGAAAACCGAAAAGTAAAATTGCTAGAGATAGCTGACACCCTAAAGATATCAATACAACGTGATGGACATATCGTTCACGAATATTTGAATAGGAAAAACCTCTGTGCTAAACGGGTGCCGCGCAAACTCATATTTGACCAAAAGCATAACGGGTTGATGATTTGTAAGAGTATTTGGAGCTGTTTAATCGAAATAAAAGTGAGTTTTTGCATCAATATATCACCACGGAAATGATCTGGCTTCAACACTACACTCCGGAGTCGAACAGACAGTTAGCCGAGTGAACTAGAGACGATGACGAGAAAAAATGCAACCAATTAGCTGGCAAGGTTATCGCGTCAGTTTTTTGGGATACGCAAGAAATGATCTTCATCAACTATCTGGAAAAAGGCCAGACCATCAATAGAGACTATTGTATAAAGTTATTGAAACATTTGAAAATCAAAATCGGGAAAACGGCCCCATTTGAAAAAGAAACCGTGCTGTTCTATCAGGACAATGCACCAAGTCACAATTCCGTAAAAATAGTTGCCAAAAAAACTTGAAAGAGGCTCCAAATCGCTTTCCTACTCACTATGTTTTCTAGATCTGTTCCCCAGCGGCCGAATTTTGTGGCTAAGTACGAATTGTACTACAACAATGGTTTCGAAAAGTTCGAAGTTCACTATAATCTATTAATTAGAAACTATATTAAATAAAAAAAAAATGCCAAAAAAATGATTTTTCTTTATTATCCTACGGACTTATTGAGTGAAGTGATATATTTCATGGATACATTTTTAACTCTGTATATACTTAACCTTGATCTGGTATTTTATCAGAAATATTTATCATCGAAGTTGGAATAAATATTTATTTAATTTATCCCCTATAATCTTGCTTTTTCTAATTTTTAACTTCCCGTAGGGCAAGTTATAGTAATCGCAAAAAAATCGAAAATGAAAATTTTTGCATTTCTCGACGTTTCAAAGGTTTCTGAATATTTTGGCATACCTTAGAAAAAATGGATGTATGTGTGTGTGTGTGTGTGCATGTATGTGCGGATACAAATTTTCGTCGACGATTTCGGGAACACCGATCAACCAATTTGAATAATTCAAAGAACATTCGATTCGTATTGATAAGGAGACGTGGTGATTAGTTTTGGCAAAGGCAGGTCTAGCCGTTCCGAAGATACGGGGCAAAAAGTGCCAAAAACGGTAACTCAGTTTTTAAGAGAACGGAGCGTCCGATTTTAATAAATCAAAAAACATTTTACTTGTATTGACAAGGTGAAGAACCGATCAAATTTTCATAAAGGCAAGTCTAGCGGTTTCGGAGATCTAATGAAAAAAGTAAAAAAAATGTCATTTGGCGGGCAAAAATGATCATTAGACATATGCACATCAAATTATCAGATATTTTATAGAGATTTTAACAATAAGTATAAATTTTATTTACATTCCTATTGGTTCCGTACCAATGTTAGACGGCAACGCGGCGCTTACGCACTTTGATATTTCGTCTTTATGCAGTTAAAGCAGTACGATTGCTTTGAAAAAAAGTTTAAATCTTCCAAAATATGTCAAAATAAAGAAAAAAAATTAAAAATCTCAAAAAAAAAATTAAAAAAAAAATAATAATAATAATTATTTTTATCAAAAAAAAGTAATTTTTCGTCCAGTGTATATAGCAATGTATAGTTTCCCAAACATCTTATTTTTTCGAAGTAAAATTTTTTCAAAAATGTTAATTGTTTTTAAAAAAATAATAATTTTTGGTACGGGAAGTTCCAGCAATTTGCCTGAAGACACGATGCATTAATTGCTTTAAGACAGAATTCCACTTACAGCTAGTTTTCTGTTTAGTTGGTCCTTTTTACACCACCCACGAGTAAGCTTTTACAGAGGTTGTATAAAAAAGAGAATTGCTATTACACTTTTTACAATATTTTGAACGATGTAAGTATGACGTCGGCGTAAGATTTTTTTCGAGAATAGTCTCAATAGATGGGTAAAGTTCTAGATGGTATAATTCTTGATATATCATATATTTATAAAAATATTTGATACGTACGTGCGTGAGCAAGTGACAGGGCCCACAGACGCAAATAAGAGGCGGTGTGAGATACTGTACTCAGTACGTATTCAATGGTATGAATTGCTTGGTGAATGAAAATTTCACTCATGGGTTCTTCTTCGTGTTCTCCATGAGCTGCTTTTGGCGGTGCCTTTGGTGCCTCTGGCATACCGTTTTCTTGGCTGGAGACAACGTCTGAAGTCATTTCCATTCCTTGGTTTAAATCACCATTTGATTTAGCAGAATGAGGAGCTTCCTTAAGTTTATAAAAATAGATTATAATGTGATGATACTATATTATAAGCTTTTTACAATTGAAATAAATAACATCAGTGATTTTTCGGGTTGTTCTAAATGTTATTCGGTTTTTATCATTTAATGTAAGTCTACTATAATCAATGATACAATAATAACAATTACTACTTACATCTTTATTTTTCTTGGTTGCCATCAAATATAATGGTTTGCCTAAGAGCATGAGCGGAATACAGCAGAGCCCAATTAACACAAATATTTTTTGAATTTGCTGTTGTCCTTCAAACATAAATTCATCGCATTGTTCTGCTGGAGATCCTTGCTTGAATAACATCATGTTAATGAACAGAATCAAAACTGATGGTGCGCAGCAGGGTTCAAATCTGATGTCTATAATTTTAATGTTATGAAATTTATATTCCGCATATCATTTTTAACTAATAATTCAGATTCATTACCTGTATTATTTGCAGAGTACAAAATCCATTTAATAAACATCATGAACACCATGTAAGCAAAGAGAAGAACTAAGAAGACCAATTGGGGCAAAAATTCTACTAATATGCTGATCTTCTGGCGGAAATGACTGTAACAATACAATGATATAAGTTGTTGAAATTTATAAATATATTTATTATATATTTAGTAGAGTTGGCAAAAAAAAATGTTTTGACATCCATAATTTATAAATAAAATAATTCGGCATTATAATATCATCCATATTGAATGTTGATCACTTTTCAGAATGCCCCCTTAAATACATTTTTACACTTACACGTGATTGAATACGGCCATGCAAACTCCAAAAATCATGTGAACGACGCCGAAAATGATAGACAACTTCATTTTAAAGGAGTTCAAGAAAATAATTTTGTTGGTAGCCAGCTAAAAATAAAAAGTAAAAATGTTAGTCAGTTAATAAAAAAAATTGAATAACTTTTGCAATATAAATCTAATTTTGATTGATAAACATAAGCATTTTACATACATTTTTATTTAAATGTAAATACCGCTAATATAGCATGTACTTCTTTCATACTCTGAAAACTGATAATACATATGCTTATACCTTACCTGCCACATTGGATCTAAACCAATAGGATATGCTTCTCCAGCATCTGTTTTTGGGTCAAGAGTTAATTCTTCATTCTCCATCACAGTGGATGAATTATAATTTAATGTCCATCCAGAACCAAAAATGTTCATGGATAAGGAGAAAATATCGTTGTACACAAAGCCAGTGTACATCGAGAATATACCCATGAGGAGAATGATATAGCGACCGGAGAAAAATGTTCCAAATTTCACTGTTGATTTTTTTGGCACCCAAACTCTTTTCTCTAACTAACTACATGAACAGACCGAATACATCATAATTATACCGTGGCCAATATCTCCAAACATAATGCCGAACAAAAATGGAAAAGTAATGATGGTGTACAGAGCTAAAATATTAAAGAAAACGTATTATATTTTTATATTAAATCAAATGATTATATTACATTTATTTTAAATGATGTTCCAATTACCTTGATTTACTTCTCTGTAACTAGCAACTCCGTAGGCATCTATCAAGTTTTGGAAACCTTGAGTGAA